AACCAGCTTTTTCTGTAGCCTGAATTATTATATTAAAAGCAATGTTCAAGGATGGCTGGGCAAAATTTCGTACCGTTAGGTAGCTTCCTTTTCTCAGGATCGATCCAGGGACCTTTTGATTGTTAGATGACTTGTGTCTGTCAGCTATGCTACACTAGTCGTATATAAGGCGGCTGAAAACAAGCTTTTTCTATGTATAAAATTGCATTTTGTGTAGGGATTGCACTTTTTATCAGAATACAGTTTCGTCTTTCAAAACTTATATGACGATACGCCTATTCTTCTGAAAATGTTGTGGTTCTGGCAGTAACAACACTATTGATTGTTCCATTAGCCCTAACATAGACACATCGGAAGAAAGTATAATGAAAGACTATGTCGAATTTACCCAAACAATAAGAAACACTGCCTAAGTAAAATAATAACAGTGACCCCAAAATCTCAATACCGTGTCAGTGAGTATTTTAAAAATATTGACTACTAAAATTAGTAAGTACCACAACACTTTTTCTTCTTCAACTTACCCCCGTACAACTATAAAGTTTTTTTTTTCATGCAATAAACATGTAGGTGTATTTTTGAAATCCCTTTCCCTGCAGATCGAGTAGGACAGACATTGGGTAAGGTTTAAGCCAAGTGTATTAGATTACCCAAGGAGGAGAGTGAGGGAATGGAATTGTCTGCCCGAGGCAGCGTCCGATCTCCCCCTCAAAATCTTGTTTCATATTTAATTCTCGTTTCCCCAAATGTTTACAAATGTTTATCATCTTGAGGTTTATACCCGGAGATATTAGTACGGAAACGATTGAAATATTTATGTTTTTTACAAAGTGCATTGTTAGTTTTGTGAAAATAAACGAATAAATAATGTGTACAGAAACGTGTTACATGTCTAAAACTCTTGAGTAAGAACTACGGCTTCGAGTCTTGTCATGCTTAATTAGATGGGATAATTGCTTCCCACAGTCCTTGATAACATAAAATTTGCAACAACTGTTTTGGTATCTAAAAAATAAAAAAAGTATTTCATGAAAATATTTATCCCCTAAAAAGGTGGAATGCATTCACAAACTTAGTTTTATTAGCGAATAACAACAACATTTCCTTTATTACTGCTTCCACAATAGCTTTAACATATTTCAAACTTAATAAAACCAGACCCTTAGGTGCGAGTTACAATGAATTATTGGACTTTTCAATGAATAAATTCACTTCTCCAGTAACAATGGTTGGAAATATCACAAAGAAAGACAAAGAAGTAATTTATTGACAAGTCAAGGGAACTGTGTCTTTGAAAGTGTTCGATTATGTGTTATAATTAAGTTACTGGCTCATTCAATCAAAAATAACCAAACGAATAATTGCCAAGTTTTTTTACGTAGAAACCCTTTAAATTGGGTAGAAATAGTATTTTATTATGGAAGTTAGGCTTGTATAAGCTAAAAATCTACATTTATTTGATAGTTTTCTTCATAAAATAAATTTTTTAACATGAAATCTTAAATCATTGTGAGTACATTGAGTTCTGTATATCTGACTGATTAATAAGTATTTTTCAAAAATATATTTTAATTAAATGCTCATAATACTTTATTTAAACTTTTACTACTTTATAACTCTTGTTATTAGGTTAGCAAGCTATTTTCAAAAATTAATGTTTTATGTTTGTTTCAGGTAAATTAAATGCTGTGTACATAAAGCAACGGATTTGGTAAGTCTTTAAAAACAGTATGTTCAATACACGCAACTCTAAATCGGTTTACACGGTCAAACTACGTTAAAATCAAACACTTAAATATAATAATTGTGAAAATAATGAAGACGGAAACATTAGAAACGAATGACAAAGTTGATCAGCGTGTTGTCGACGTAAAGAGCTTTAAAAGTTTGTAGCCAAGTGGATGACGTTCTAGGGCCATTAGACTGATAAATATTTCAACTTTTAATGATGCGGAACAACTTTAAACTTTGGGAGTATTAACAAAATAATTCACTCCCCTTGTCTGTAATTTTGACGACTTTCTCTCAAAGTATGTAACATTCAGTGAAATTAATTCTCAGTCTAACTGTAGTTCCGGGTGAAGATTTCAACGAAGATTAAAAGGGGTGTGTTAAGGAAGAGTGGAGAGTAGTGTTTATATTTTTCGCATTTGTAGTTATTAGGCTACTGTCCTTGTGAAATTTACTCGGATTAGTTTAGATTTGTACGACACTGACTCATCAAGGGGTTTGGATTAAATTAATTAAGTTATATAATTATTTTCTCCAAGATCATGTTGTTTTGCCAGAAGTATGTACTGTATTAAAAGAGCGAGAAATGAACCAGGTAAATAGAATTGAAAACCATAAACATATTTCCTTTCATGTATTAAAAGTCAAATGATCTAGGTTAGTTAGAAATGAACCGGATGAATATAATTGAAACCCATAAACATATTTCCTTTCACGTATTAAAAAGTCAAATGATATAGGTTAATTAGGGATGGACCAGATAAATATAATTTTAAATCATATCCATATTTCCTTATAGTTCTAAAGACATCTGGACAGCTTCATCACACTTAAACGTCACCAAAACAAAACACAAATTAAAACATGCTTATATATTTTTAGATAACTTAAGTCTACTTGCATAGTTCAGTTCTAAAGCCGTCTATTGAAAAGATTTAATTTATAATGTGATTAATTTAGTGAACTATCTTTATTTAGTGTTTTTTTTTTCTTCGTGTATGTCGAAAAAGATCGCAATTATTCCCCCCTTAGTTCCCTAGGCTTAAGTTAATTTTGTTGTGTCTACACTTTTTACCGTTTATTTATTGTTTTATTACTTTAGTTTTTCATTAGTAGTATTAAAACAAATTGAAAAATTAGTTTTTTTCATAAAAATAAACTTTGTAATTCTTCGAAGCCACAAGGTTGCGTTGCACCTAAAAGTTGTTACAGCTTAAGTTGTTTTCATAAATAATCTAATAATTTGTAAGAGAAATTGTTTCTACCAAACATTTCAACTTTTTAAAATTCCATTAATTTTAAAAACAAAACATATGTGATAAGGAAAGTTTAAATGCAATACTTAATAATATGTTGTAATTTCATTGTAAAACATTTTAGGGAAACAGTTTGAATGCTAATTAGAGAATAATCCTTTAAAATTTAGATTTCAGCCAGGGTAATATTCCAAGTTCAATTCCACTCAGACATTTTGCAGCTGCAGTCGTGGAAGCGATCATATTTCTCCCGCCAGATATTATTCTCCGGATCCCTGAAGGCGATAAATACTTTGTCTTGTGACTTTGGCGGGATTTTCCTAATGTTATCGTACATCTTGTTTATTTGAGCGCTCTCCCGAGATTATTGTAAAACGCGGAATCTGACTTTACACACTTACTGTGATTTGTGATGGATTTATCTTGATTGTTAACCGAGAAATGATGCAGTGGGAGCAATAGAATATGTTATTGTGGCTTCTGATTAGCATTTTTAATTACAATTGTCTAAAATTCAGTTAAATACAGTACTTTAAAATTCCAGTCCATTTCTTGACCCAGATTTGCAATAGTATCTCTGGTACTTATATGTTATCAAATTATAAATGATCTGCCAGCAAAGTTCTCCTAAAGACAATACAAACTCATTAATCTGTTTTTAAACGATTCCAATTATATTTTGAAGCTATGATTGTGTGTTATAAAATTTATTTCATATGTTGTAAAAACTTTGATCTTTTTCTCTCGTGCTAGCAGTGGATATATTTCTCACAGTTTACAAACTTTAGGTCGTCGTCCGTAGTTTTCTGTTGTGTTTTTGTTTTTACGAGTTTCTCGACGCATTTTGTTGTTTGGTATCTTTTTGTATTCCTAAACTAACTGCAATATTTGTAGCACGGATTGAATGATTACATATTTTATTTACGTTTTTAATACAATCCCTTCTGTCATATGCATGTATGACGAGGAGTTGACGATGGCATAAGGTCGAAACCGCGTTTTTGCAAATTATTCGCATTGAAGACATAAGTAAATACAATATTCAACCTAATATAATTAAACCTAGTCTGACCTTACTCAACTGCCATTGGATTAACTAGTTATATAAAATAATAGTGTTGAGGATAAAAGCTAGAGAAACAAAGATAGCACCTTATTTTAAACAAAAATTTTCAGATGATGCCAGTTTTCTGTATATAAATTAATAATGAGAAAGTGAGGAGCGAATGTATGGTTTGCATCTTATTATCTACACAACCAATTTTATTTAAAATTTAAATTAAAACTTAAAACATCTTGTCTTAGAAAATTATTTGGTACCTGTTAGAACGCAACAAAATTATAAATACAACCAATACTCGTTTGATAAGTTTCTTAAATGAATATTGGTCTAGGAAACGTATACTATGTTAATATAGAAGTAGGAATATGTAGGTAAAAGAATATTGTAAATCTTGGATACAATGAAAATACATTCATTTAAAATTTCACCCTAAAATAAGTTCAACACCTTTTATGTCAACGGTTTTAAATTAGTTACTCTGGAGACGTTTGAAGGCTTTGAAAGTAGGTTTCATTGTTGAAAGTCCACAAAGTCTAGTCTAATTAGATTGATAAATATTTAAACTTTTAATGATACAGAACAGTCAGTGATATTTCGTACTTTAGAGTTTCCATATTTAAGCAGTCCCTTTGTTTCCCAGAGTAACTAATATAGTTTTGGAAAGTTATTTAGTGTAAGATCACAAAGTCTGAAAGATTTCACTCAATTTGTCTATAGACAGCTTTTTACTACTATAAACTTGAAAACTGCCAAAAACACTGTAAATAGTATAAGGATATTAATTTATTTTAACCAAAATATCACTTTTGTTTCATCCTAACGTTCATTAATACCATTTAGTCTAATGAAAGTCGTAAACACATTTGAAGCTATAACAAAACAACATTTTTAGGTTAGGAAACAACTCATCAAAATTTCAAAACTGTTTTAATGTCAGTGAATAATTTGCATGTTAAATGTTCATAACACATCAACCATAACCAGTCTCCTGGGCAGTCCTTAGGTAGACGGGGGACAGGTTCCATTACACAAACTATAGTCTCCACTTCTGCTAGTCTTGGTTAATCAGTTGGTTTTCATTTTAGCTTTTCGTCTCTTTAGGCAGACATTCACCGTAACCGATGATACAGCCGACAAAGTCTGTATTGTAGTGGAATTTAAAGAACCCTCTATACTTCCCATATTCCATGGTGGGAATGTTTTTCTCAAGGTTCAGACTCATTTCCCAGTTGTCCACGTTGTACACTCCCTGGAATCGAAAAACTGTTTGAGTCTTCAAAACACCGAGTAGGCCACAGTTTGTTCATAATGGTTCAAATTGTTTGAGTTTGTGATGTTGAAAATAAAATTTAAGTAGGTTCAAACATAAATACAGTTTGAAGATAAAATGTATCTACACAATATGTGACATCAAAACAAAACATAGATAAATGATTGGAATTCTTCAAAACCAATTTATTGAATATTTAAGTTTTACAAAATTTTCATTCCTCAGGGGTTTATAGTTATTATTTCACTAATCATTTGATGGATGAATCAGTTGTTGGATAGGTGGTTATTTATTGTCGATTTATGTATACATTTTATCGATAAATGATCTACATAAGTCCCCACATTAGTAATGGTCATATGCATAATGTTTTTCTCATATCATATTAGTGTATGGTATTATCACAAAGCAATAAATACACTTTTCATTAAAACTCCCTATGTGAATAAAAATGTTGATTTCCATGTACAATTTGGTTATCAAGGAAAGTGACTAAAAAAGTATACATGATAAGAGTACTAAACAATTTCGACATGAAATAAAACTTACCGCGGGAACCGGGCAACTTTCGAGGGAGTTGTTTGAAGCTTTTCCTATTGCAATGATTTCGGAGCCGACCATTTTCCAAATAGCTTTGCAGTTTTTCATGGTGTACTGTATGAACTTCGGCCTCCACCCGCCGTTTCCAAACTTTTGAATCTCGACTTCAACCTGTACGCGTAAAGAAATATGAATTGTTTTTCATAAACATAATCCGTGTTAAGTAAGACTCTAGAGTTGATATTTTACTGTAAGAAATAGTAATTTAGATAAAAGTTGGAGGAATATCAAGTTCATCACCTTGGTTTTTTACACTGTACCTTAGTTTTTTTAATCGGCGTATTCTCATTCTTAAGAGTACATAGTTCTAAAAAAACTACTAGTTAAAGTTTTAAAACTTATTTATATTCTGAAAATCACCTCGTGTTGATAATTTACCTCATTTTACCTTGTTATTCTAAAAGTAGGATGGGCTTGAGACAAATCCAAGATGGCGTCATCTAATTTCACTTTAGGTGTTCTAACACCCATGTAGTCTAACCTCACTTTAGGTTTACTAATACCCATGTAGTATAACCTCACTTTAGGTTTACTAATAAAAATTTGGTCTAACCTCACTTTAGGTTTACTAATACCCATGTGGTCTAACCTCACTTAAGGTTTACTAATACCCATGTGGTCTAACCTCACTTTAGGTTTATTAATACCCATGTGGTCTAACCTCACTTTAGGTTTACCAATACCCTTGGGGTATAACCTCACTTTACGTTTACTAATACCCATGTGGTCTAACCTCACTTTAGGTGTACTAATAAAAATGTGGTCTAACCTCACTTTAGGTTTACTAATAAAAATGTGGTCTAACCTCACTTTAGGTTTACTAAAGAAAATATGGTCTAACCTCACTTTACGTTTACTAATACCCATGTGGTCTAACCTCACTTAAAGTTTACTAATAAAAATGTTGTCTAACCTATGTAAGCCCAACAAAGGGAAAAAAATACTTTTCCCCATAAAGTGAGTTAATCTTCTAGTAATAAATATGTAGTTCTCAATTTTATTTCGTGTTGCCTTGGCCAATTATTGACTTGGCTAATACAAGTTTTTCGATCTAGCCAAATAAATGACTTATTGACTTATTATTATTGACTTATTTCGGTTGAATAATGTATCCCATATTAGCCAACTTTTAAGAACTGACGGAGAGTTTCTTTTTCCATGATCAATTTTACATCGAATCCGCGTTGGGTTGATGTTTCGTCTGATAAACATAGTTCGATCCTAAACAACTTGCCAAGGCAAATCACTGGATAAATATCTTCAATTACTGCAATAAAACTGACAAACTGTAGCTTGTTGTCCATTTCCGAAAAGGTGATCAACTTTTCTTCCTTCCCCATGTTTTATTCAGGCCTAGGTCTGACATCCCTTCCAAAAAGACAAATGCTGCGATGAATATATAAAAAATTCAAAATTCTTTATTAAGTACTCTTATACAGCTTGACAGCCAATTACATAAGGCACTAATACAAACATAAATTATATGCACGACAACTACCCTACAGCAAACAGCATACAACTTTGATACATACACATAAAAAAATATTAATAATAGAAATAGTTTGAAACTGGTTTTAAATAACTATATTACTTATAGATAAATGAATAAATAAATTACTGATAAACAAATAAATCTATATGCACTAACAAAGAACCATAAATAAACAATAATATGCAACATGCAACCAGCAAACATGACTAATTGGCACTTTTTCATTAAAAATTATTTATATTACTATTTAATTTAAATCTAAACATACTTAAAGAATCATTAAAGATATCCACTTCTCGGCAAGACAAATTATATAACCTACACATGTTGTTTAGAGGTGAATAGAAGGCCAAATTAGTTTTCGAAAATGGTATAAAAAATAAATTTGCATTTCGTGAGGTGAGGCGAGGAACAGCAAAGCTGATACATGAAGCTAAATCACTATTGTCAACGCTACCATCCAAAAGCTTATATAAGAAAAGTAATGCATTTAATTTACTTCTTTTTGTTAGGCTAGGGACTTCAAAAATATTTAATAACTCAGAATATGGCATCAAATTAGTATAAAATCCAAAATCTTTACGAAATAAAAATTTTAAAAACTTCTTCTGAATGTTCTCAATCATATCTGAAAGATAATTTACATGAGGATACCAAATCAATGCTCCATACTCAAGTTTAGATAGAACCAGAGAAAAGAAAAACTACTTTAAAGATGTGAGGTTCTCAAAATATATACTTGACCTCTTGATAAATCCTATTAATGAGTATGAAGCTTTACATAATACAATCACATGATCATTAAATGAAAACTTTGAATCAAAAATTACTCCTAGATCTTTCATTGATGACTTTCTGTCCAATATTATGTCTTCCATTTTATAATCAAACATTATTTTAAATTTCGTAGTTTTTCTGGTATAGGAAACTATTGAGCACTTAGAATCATTGAATTTTAAATGCTTCCTACTCCAAATGATCAAGGAATCTATGTCTTGCTGCAACTCATAACAGTCATGTACATCATCAATTGTTTTAAATAATTTCAAATCGTCCGCATATAATAAAACTTGACTATTTTCGACATAATTTTGTATGTCATTAATAAATATTATGAAAAGCAAAGGCCCTAAATTTGATCCTTGAGGAACACCTGATCCGACTACAAGTTCCTCTGAGATATATCCATCACAAGAAACATATTGCTTTCTTTTATACAGATATGAACTAAAAAACTCTACAAGTGATGGAGTTAATCCAAAATAATTTAACTTTGATAGCAGAGTTAAAAGATCAACTTTATCAATAGCCTTTTCAAAGTCAGTGTAAATAACATCAACTTGTTGGTTATTGCCAATTTTAGTGCAACAAAACTGAAAAACTCAACAATTTTGAATTAATTGATCTCTTGGGGAAAAATCCATGTTGATATCTACTAATATATTTTTTAACATGAGAAAAAAGTCTGTTCTTGCGTGACTAACAATTTATCTATATCAGATAACAACAAATCCAACGTGCGACCTTGGAGGTTCAATACCCATGTGGTCTAACCTCACTTTAGGTTTACTAATACCCATGTGGTCTAACCTCACTTTAGGTTTACTAATACCCATGTGGTATAACCTCACTTTAGGTTTACTAATACCCATGTGGTCTAACCTCACTTTAGGTTTACTAATACCCATGTGGTTTAACCTCACTTTACGTTCATTAATACCCATGTGGTCTAACCTCACTTTACGTTCATTAATACCCATGTGGTCTAACCTCACTTTACGTTTATTAATACCCATGTGGTCTAACCTCACTTTAGGTTTACTAATACCCATGTGGTCTAACCTCACTTTAGGTTTACTAATACCCATGTGGTCTAACCTCACTTTACGTTCATTAATACCCATGTGGTCTAACCTCACTTTAGGTTTACTAATACCCATGTGGTATAACCTCACTTTAGGTTTACTAATAAAAATGTGGTCTAACCTCACTTTACGTTCATTAATACCCCTGTGGTTTAACCTCACTTTACGTTCATTAATACCCATGTGGTCTAACCTCACTTTAGGTTTACTAATACCCATGTGGTATAACCTCACTTTAGGTTTACTAATAAAAATGTGGTCTAACCTCACTTTACTTTTACTAATACCCAATGTGGTCTAACCTCACTTAAAGTTTACTAATAAAAAATGTTGTCTAACCTATGTCCCACCAAAGGAAAAAAATACTGTTCCCCATCAAATTGAGTTGTCTTCTAGTAATAAATATGTAGTTCTCAATTTTATTTCGTGTTGCCTTGGCCAATTATTGACTTGGCTAATACAAGTTTGTTGATCTAGCCGAACAAATGACTTATTGACTTTTTATTATTGACTTATTTCGGTTGAATAATGTATCCTATATTAGCCAACTTTTAAGAACTGACGGAGAGTTTCTTTTTCCATGATCAGTTTTACATCGAATCCGCGTTGGGTTGATGTTTCGTCTGATAAACATAGTTCGATCCTAGACAACTTGCCAAGGCAAATCACTGGATAATATCTTCAATTACTGCAATACAACTGACAAATTGCAGCTTGTTGTCCATTTCCAACAAGGTGATAAACTGTTCTTCCTTCCCCATGTTTTATTCAGGCCTAGGTCTGACATCCCTTCCAAAAAGACAAATGCTGCGATGAATTTATCAAAAATTCAAAATTCTTTATTAAGTGCTCTTATACAGCTTGACAGCCAATTACATAAGGCACTAATACACAATAACATAAATTACATGCACGACAACTACCCTACAGCAAACAGCATACAACTTTGATACTTACTCATAAAAAATATTAATAATAGAAATAGTTTGAAACTGGTTTTAAATAACTATATTACTTATAGATAAATGAATAAATAAATTACTGATAAATAAATAAATCTATATGCACTTACAAATAATTATAAATAAACAATAATATGCAACATGCAACCAGCAAACATGACTAATTGGCACTTTTCATTAAAAATTATTTATATTAGTATTTAATTTAAATCTAAACATACTTAAAGAATCATTAAATATATCCACTTCTCGGCAAGACTAATTATATAACCTACACATGTTGTTTAGAGGTGAATAAAAGCCCAAATTAGTTTTCGAAAATGGTATAAAAAATAAATTTGCATTTCGTGAGGTGAGGCGAGGAACAGCAAAGCTGATACATTAAGCTAAATCACTATTGTCAACGCTACCATCCAAAAGCTTATATAAGAAAAGTAATGCATTTATTTTACTTTTTTTTTGTTACTTAACAAATATCTAATAACTCAGAATATGGCATCAAATTAGTATAAAATCCAAAAGCTTTATAAAATAAAAATTTTAAAAACTTCTTCTGAATGTTCTCAATCATATCTGAAAGATAATTTACATGAGGATACCAAATCAATGCTCCATACTCAAGTTTAGATCGAACCAGAGAAAAGAATAACAACTTTAAAGATGTGAGGTTCTCAAAATATATACTTGACCTCTTGATAAATCCTATTAATGAGTATGAAGCTTTACATAATGCAATTACATGATCATTAAATGAAAACTTTGAATCAAAAATTACTCCTAGATCTTCATTGATGACTTTCTGTCTAATATTATGTCTTCCATTTTATAATCAAACATTATTTGAAATTTGGGTGTTTTTCTGGTATAGGAAACTACTGAGCACTTAGAAACATTGAATTTTAAATGCTTCCTACTCCAAATGATCAAGGAATCTATGTCTTGCTGCAACTCATAACAGTCATGTACATCATCAATTATTTTAAATAATTTCAAATCATCCGCATATAATAAAACTTGACTATTTTTGACATAATTTTGTATGTCATTAATAAATATTATGAAAAGCAAAGGTCCTAAATTTGATCCTTGAGGAACACCTGATTTGACTACAAGTTCCTCTGAGATATATCCATCACAACAAACATATTGCTTTCTTTTATACAGATATGAACTAAAAAACTCTACAAGTGATGGAGTTAATCCAAAATAATTTAACTTTGATAGCAGAGTTAAATGATCAACTTTATCAAAAGCCTTTTCAAAGTCAGTGTAAATAACATCAACTTGTTGGTTATTGCCAATTTTAGTGCAACAAAACTGCGAAAAATTCAACAAATTTGAATTAATTGATCTCTTAGGGAAAAATCCATGTTGATATCTACTAATATATTTTTTAACATGAGAAAAAAGTCTGTTATAAATAATTGATTCAAATATCTTGGCTGGAGATGATAAAATAGCTATTGGTCTATGATTTGAAATGTCATTACTTGCACCTTTTTTAGGGACGGGGACAATCTTGGCTAGTTTCCAACAACTAGGAAAATAATTACTTTTCAACGATAGATTAAATAAATAGTGTAAAGGTTCAACTAAAATCTCAGCACAAGCTTTAAAGATAAAGGGAGGTATTCCGTCAGGACCAAGTGTTCTTTTAGGCTTTAGTCTATTCAGACTGATAAGAACTTCTTGTTTAGGTATCTGATCAAAAGACAATGTTTCCACGTTGCTCATGACAGCCGAGTCCAAGGCTTGTTGCCAAAGCTGATAAGAGATGAGAGTGCATGTACTGTAAACTGAGTTGAAATATGTTGAGAATGCATCAGCTATTGCTGCTCCCCCCTCCACCTCTTTACCTTCAAATATCATCGTTGCTGGTTTTACATTAGTACCCTTCAAATATTTTATAACAGACCAAAAGGATTTAGGATTTTTATTTAACTCTATTTCAACAGTGTGTGAATATGCCTTATAATCAAATGTTATTTGTTTTTTTTTTACCTCCTTATTCTCTTAAAATCGTCCAACAAGTGAGGCATATTATAAGTTATTAATTGTTTCCTAATCTTAACTTTCTTCTTTATTAATTTTTTTAACTTATCTGAATACCATGCAGGATATTTTAAATTAGAACTTTTCCATTTTGGAACACACAAATCTAGAATTGAATAAAATTTCTCATGAAATAATCTAACAGCCTTATCAGTATTTTTCTCCATAAATAATAAACTCCAATCAGTATCCTTCAAAAGATTATACAAGGAAATCAGCTCTAGAAAAATGATAACTAACCTCACTTGAGTTCTTCTCCAAGGGGACAATTTTTTCATTAATGTTGAAAGAAGCAATTAATGCTGGATGATAATTATTTATATTTACTAATGGAACTTGTTCTTGCGTGACTAACAATTTATCTATATCAGATAACAATAAATCCAACGTGCGACCTTGGAGGTTCAATATGTTATTCAATGATTTTAATGAATACATTTTAATGAAAAATAGCAACTGCTTACAAATTCTATTCTCTCTAGACAAATCACACTGAGTTCCAGTAATTGGCAAATTAAAGTCACCCAACAAAATTAAACGTTCATTTCTTAATTTATAGAGATCAAGCTTATCAAAGAAGTTTTTGTATGTTTCAAAATTAGAACTAGGAGCAAAATATACAAGTGATAATAAAATAGAGTAATTATTAGTTAGTTTTTATCATATGTTAATGTTAGTAATATATCAACTGTTCCATTATATTCTAAAGTATCTTATAGTTTCAAACCGTACCTTAGTTTTGTCGTCGATGGGCACCCCCAAAGTGAAGCTCTCGTGGTATACCTTCCTTCCTTTGCCGGCAGAGTTCAGTCTGGTGGGGAAGGTAATCTGGCCCGTACCTTGATCTTCGCATGGCTCAAACTTTTCAATATTTATATCGTATGGTCCCTGGGAAGATAGTTATACTTTTAAGATATTTGAGATGAAAAAGGTGTCAGACACACAAAGTGTAAATCTTCATCGATTCGATTACTTGTCTTTGTTCGTTGTGAGTGCTTTTTACAAACACAATATTCTTTCAGGTACTTGACAATTTGTGCTGTTAGAAAAATAGTTTTTTAGACAAATAGTTGTAATGGAATAACAAATTCCAATAATTAGAGTATAGTTTAGTTTCATTGAAATGTTGGAAAACATAATTTTTGAACTTTGTTTACTGAATTAGATAGATTTTGGACCTAGAACTTTATTTAAAACCTTAATTAGTTAATCATTAACGATAATTCAATGGCAACTTTAGTACAAAAAAATAATTAAAAATTCACGAAAATATTTACACATTTCTTGTGTATTATTTGCATTATTTTTATTTTCACACATCATTGTATAGGCTATGCTGCAGACAAATGTTAACCTTTCCCATCAAATTAACTTGCATTTTTAATGATATCAATTAAAAGTAGAATACCCTTAGCCCCTAAGTCTATTTAAATCAAAATCATCAAATAGTAATACCAAGTACAAGTGATACAATAAAAAATATTATTTTTATAAAAATCATAAACACTTAATTTGATATCCATGCTTATATGCTTAGTTATGGTTGTTCAAAAATAAAATTGTATTCCTGAAGGTAAATCATTTTGGATAAAAAAAATCGAGTGCGGAGACCATTGGTACCGTTTTAAACAATTAGTTTTTTTTTTTTTTTGTAATTATTTTATTTAATTATACTTACCATTTTAGGCCCAAACGCGTTGATGGTCCCTATAAACGCCATAACTGTTACAACTATTCCCAATTCCATTTTGTATGACCACTGATTGACTTTGTATTCTGATTCCCCACGTGGTACTCAACAGTGGGAAAATCTTCCTGTTCGATCGAATTATTGTTGACATTGGTAATTTATCCATCTATTGTTTCGCTTCCCGTGATCTTATCGCTCGGTTGTTTGAGTTGCGCCACGTTTCAATAATTGTGTGACGATGACATGTCAAGTAAATGTTTCTAAACAAATCCAATTTTCCCTTTAACGTTTTTATCTCCATAACTTCCAGTTTAGCAATCTAGATAAAAGTATTTATTTTATGTTTGTAGTTTTTCATAAGATATATATTATTTTTCGTTCAGTGAATTGTCCAAACATCCTTCGACGGTATTTTATTTTGCACGTAAAGAAACGTGCATTCACATTGCAAATCTGGAGTGAGACAAAGTAATTAGTATTTAAATCCATTTTAAATTTTATTCCGGTTAAAAATAGTAACCTTCAAATTTATAAATGAGTAAATTTATAAATATCAATTATTACAAGCTGCTATACCAGTGCTTTGCAACGGGAAGAAAATGTGACCTAGAGAGCTATTAAAGTAATTCTGATGTGTGTTTTGAAATACGGCAACTCTATGATTTAGTTTGAAAATATATTCTGATTTAAAAGTGTTTAAACCTACTTACTTTCAAACCCCTACTTTTTATGTTAATAGATCCAAAAGAATATGACAACATACCTTTAGTGTAGCAATAGCATCAATTGCTTTATATTGATGCTTCACGAATAGTCAAGCCTCTTTACATGTAGCTTACTATATAAATTACAAAATGAAACTTTGAGCAATACTTTACAAAACGTATATAACCTTTCTTTAAAACCATACATGATTTTGCTGTTTCTCTTTTTTGGTTGTTATTATTTTTTTTCTGATTCTTTGTTTGTTTTCACTCAACATTATTATGTATAGCTAATACACTAAATTGTACTAAATATCAAAATGAAGCTGTCCGTTGGAATGTAAAATAAATAAAATAAACCACTGGGACATTAAAAAACAACTGGGAAAATTAAAGCAAACCACTTTTAATTTAATCTATAATTTGACAATATCACACCCTATTGTGTATCTTTGGGTACCGCATTCACTGTAAACATCATACAACCAACGTATTCATCTTTATAGTAAAATTTCACGACCAATCTATACTTCGCGTACTCCATGACTGGTATGACTCCGGTCATGTTTAAAGATACAGGCCAGTTGTTCACTACGTAGCTCCCCTGAAACCAAACGTTTTGTTACTCGCTAGTTTTTATATACTAGTAAAACGATACATTGATTCATACTTTATACTTAATACTGCTACATACCTTCGAAAAAAGAAATAAATAATTCCAATCCTTAAAATACTTTACTTGCTTGTATGGTGAAGTATAAGATGTTTTAATACCTATTTGTATATTAAGGGCGCAAAGTATGTAATTGCCGAGAACTGTAGATGCCATACATTTTGAGAGCGGCAATCGCTGTACTCGTAATACACACACGATTCTTGAGTCACAGATTAACTTTTTAGTTCTACATCAAATATCATTTAGATCATGTTTGCTTTTTAGGTTACGGTATGTCATTTGTTTACCGGATAGCGCTTTATATAAACGCCAACAGTGAAATAAGCTGATTCAGCTCGAAAAAGCGAGGGAGAAGGGATCAAGTGGAAACGGGCTGTTTTGCGTACTGTTTAAAGCTGTGGCAATTCCCATGCAGTTTTAGGAAATAGTTATTTGTGCAACTAGTGAGCAAAGTGAGCAATTGCCTCACTCGAGAGAAATCCTTACTCACGAGCCGTAGGCGAGTGAGGAATGCTTTCTCGAGTGAGGCGATTGCACATTGCACTCGAGTTGCACATTATATTTTCCCTACAGTTACCACAAAACAAATAAATTGGTAAAGAAACGTGCATTCACATTGCAAATCTGGAGTGAGACAAAGTAATTAGAGTGAGACAATGTTAATATGTCTCACTGATGAGCATCGTTCGTGCCTTCACGTTGCAAATCTGGAGTGAGACAAAGTAATTAGAGTGAGAAAATGTGAACGTTGTCTCACTGATGAGCGAATTAGCCACTTTGCTGTCTGAAATCAGTGAGAGACATGTACATTGTTAGGTGACTGTAGGAAAACCAATCAAACGGAAGTAAAATAAATTACTAAAAGCACAGATATCTTATTTAAGCACACCTACCGGAGGGAAGGGGCAAGTGATGAACTGGGTAAGATTAGTATACTTCATTGCATCATGAATCTGATCTCCAATTCTTCGCCAGAGATCTTCACAGTTTTTGACGGTGTACTGAACCGCCCTCTTCCGCCATCCGCCGTTTCCCCACTTCTGCAGTTCTAAGACTGCCTGTGATCAAATATAAAGAAATATATTTTAATTAAAAAAATCAAGTAGCAGAAACAATTATAGTTACGTGAAAATCTAACTAGTTTCACGGTGGTTTTCTATAACAAATGAAAAATCTGGTTATTTTCCTTGTTTAATTTTTGTGTTAAGATGTTTCATTGAAGAAATATTTTAGAAAATTGAAGTTTAAGTTATTTATTAATTTTTCAGGTGTCGCTTCCCGAACTACTTAACAATTTCTAATCTAGAGGTAAATACCTTGTTGCCGACGTAATCCTTGGTAGCCTTAATGGCGATCGGTTTCGATACACTTATGGTGTCATTGTCAAGCGTAGACGTTGGTTGTCGCTCCTAGGAGGTCGTCAAAAAGTCTTCAGAACACATCAACGAGATAGGAATGAAACTAAAAATGTTTACGAAAAATAATACTGTACAAGGTGAAATCCGTCGACATCAAGTCCTTTGTCACATCGGTCATCATAGCGTTTTACTGTGTCAATGAATAACCCTCTAGCATAGTTTTGAGAGATTGGTCGTAGGGTTACTGTTAAAACTGAAATTCCTAGATATTCGGATGTCAGTTGTTATTACACAACCAAAAAATCCTTCCAATGATTGAAAACATGTATGACAATTGACAATAATCTCATAAACCTATGAAGATCTGTCTTGAAAAATATGATAATCTATAGGCAAAAGTTTTCAAAAATGCAGACACCAACCCGTACAATAGATATAGATATAAGATAATTCAAGAAGAAATTATTTTAAGAGTTACTGTGATGTTAAGATTTTTCACCGATTTCGTAATGGAACGTAATATTGCAAAACATGACATGATGCAGAAGAAAATCAATTTTTAAATCAGAAAATAAAATTGCAAATACTTCTTTTTGAAAAAATTCAGTAACTCCCTACAATATGTTTTGTTTGAAATAAAATTTAAATATTAACAGATTTTTCATTAGAAAGTAGTGAAAAATTATCCATAAGGCCATAATGTCAAACTTTAAAGGCCTCTGGGGCAGAGCCCCAAGGGAATTTACTTGGTTTTTTATTGATGGCTAATCTACAGACCGAGACCTTTCTTTGGACACCTCTACCAAGTTTCTACACCCAGCCGTTCTCTCAAATTAGTGGAGACAAAGTTTCCAATTAAATATTTAGATTGTTCGAAGTTACCCTTGTGTTTTCGTCAGCCGGTACTTCAAGTTTGAAGGTCTCATTGTAGAAGTATTTGCCTTTTCCAACAAAAGTTATTCTGCTGGGGAAATATATTTTACCAGATCCAGGGTCTTCGCATTGCTCCATCTTTAAAATTTCAATCTCATACGGTCCCTGTAGAAATGAAGTACTGAAGTAGTGTTAGTCAAATACGTCTGGAAATATTATATATTCAATGTCTTTTTTTGTGAAAGACATACAATATTTTAATTGCAACAAATACCAACACACAATTTTGTAAAAAATCTAAACTATGAAATTAACAGAACATTAAGAGGGTTCCACCCATCGGATGTTTACTAATAAACATGGTTCTACAAAAAGGACCTCCTGGTATTATTAAAGTGTTTATTGAGTTCAAATAAACTGAAAAAATTCACAAAGATCCAAACTATGCACTAGCTTAACTGAATCATCGTAATTGTTTCTTTAAGCATTTACAAATTAATTTTGAAAATCCGTAAATTATTCTTTTTCACATGCGATTTTAACTTCTAAATAATAGTTAAAAACTATTTTTGCTCCACCCAATGCAAGCTCTGATGTTAAGAGCACAAAAAGCACACAATCATTGGAAACAAGTTTGTTTTAGAGTGTTTTTTTTTAGCCAAGGACAAAACTAACTTTCTCCTTGCAAAGTACGCATTGAAAACTGACGTTTTTGCTGCGGTATGACGTAAACCAAATGTTACTTACCATTTTAGGTCCGAACGCTCCCGTGGTCAGTTTGACTCCAATAACCAACAACAAGGCTATTTTGCCACTCATTGCAGCGGAATCGTGCGTTGATGTTTACCACTCATTTCACCTCCGACAACACAAATGTTGACGTGGTTTTTACCCGGTTTCCTGTGTGTTTATCTGTGGGTAATTGATCTGTAATTATATCAATATAGCTGTATAATTTGTTCACTTATAATCTTCCGTTCCCACGATTGTATTTCAAACTCAAACATCTTTAAGGCTTACCTTCCGATCCAATTTATTTTTATAGTGGAGACCTAGGTTTCTACGTCGAAACGTTATCGTCAGTCCTTTGTCTCATAGGCTAGCTAAACATCTTTGCCATGTCTTACTGGTATATACAAATATATATTTTTGAAAAATACTTAATAATCAGTCAGATGTACAGAACTCAATGTATACACATACACAATTATTTAAGATTTAAAATGAAATTCTTAAATTTTGTTTTTCATGTAAAAAATTTACGTTATAAAGAAAACTATCAAATAAATGTTTTTTTTTAGCTTACACGATAAAATACAGTTTATACCCAATTTTAAGGTATTCAACGTAAAAAAAACTTGGCAATTATTTGTTCGGTTATTTTTGACTGAATGAGCCAGTAACTTAATTATAACACATAATCGAACACTTTCAAAGACACAGTTCCCTTGACTAGTCAATAAATCACTTCTTTTGTCTTTCTTTGGGATATTTCCAACCATTGTTACTGGAGAAGTGAATTTATTAATCGAAAAGTACAATAATTCATTGTTACTCCCGCCTAAGGGTCTGGTTTTATTAACTTTGAAATATGATAAAGCTATTGTGGAAGCAGTAATAAAGGAAATATTGTTGTAATTCGCTAATAAAACTAAGTTTGTAAATGCATTTAACCTTTTTAGGAAATCAATATTTTCATTAGATAAAATTGTCAAATAAAGAAGTTTTATATTGGTTAACAATTTTTATCTTAGGAATAAAATGTTACCAACTGAATTATTTGTAAATACAATACAAAAACAATCTCCAGATGATCTTAATAATAACTAAATAAATATTAAAGAACAACAAACATATGACATCTTCTCTTCCCTTTTTTTAAAGACATGTTCTTCTTGGTGGATTTATTTGTCTACCAAATGAGGAAAAACAATTAGGCTCAGTTCCAGGGTCATCAGATGTTTTGGGTTGTAGTTGTCTTAGCATTACCCCGTTGCGACGTAACATGCCTTCGTTTGTCTTAACTGTGTATGATCTTGGAGCTACTTTATTAACTATCTTCCCATCTTCTCTCCTATCAGGAATATACACGTTGCATCCAATAGTGAATTGCTTTTCATCTCTCACTCCATGCCGTTTATTGAAGTAATCTGCTTGAGTTGCTCTATATAGTTTGTCCAATTCTCTAAATGTCTTGTGATCTACCATTTTAGGCTTGAGATCTTTCGTCAATGACGGTAGTCGGGTTCTTAGTCTTCTTCCCATCAACAATTCCGAAGGGCTGTACCCTGATGGACCTGGTGTTGACCTGTACTCCAGTAATGCAAGAGTGGGGTCTTTGTTCTTTGTAAGCATCTTTTTAAGCGTTTGGACTGCTCTTTCAGCTTCACCGTTTGCCTGAGGCACCAGTCCGAAAGGGCGTGGGTTCGGATCCCACCGCTGCCACCATGTCAAATAAAGAAGTTTTATATTGGTTAACAATTTTTATCTTAGGAATAAAATGTTACCAACTGAATTATTTGTAAATACAATACAAAAACAATCTCCAGATGATCTTAATAATAACTAAATAAATATTAAAGAACAACAAACATATGACAAAAATGTTTTATTTTTTAGATACCAATACGGTTATTACACATTTTACGTTATCGTGTGCTGTGGGAATAAGTTAACTCATCTAATTAAGCATGACAAAACTCGAAGCTGTAGTTCTTACTTAGGAATTTTAGACATCATTATCTAACACTTGTTTCTGTATACGGTATTTCTTAGTTTATTTTCACTAAACTAACAATTAACTTTGTAAAATAAACATAAATATTACAATCGTGTCCGTACTAATATCTCCGGGTATAAACCCTCAAGATGATAAACAATTGTAAACATTTGGGGAAACGAGATTTTGAGGGGGAGATCGGACGCTGCCTCGGGCAGACAATTCCATTCCCTCACTTTCCTCCTTGGGTAATCTAATACACTTGGCTTAAACCTTACCCAATGTCTGTCCTGTCGGTCTGCAGGGAAAGGGAAAAGATATTCAAACAAATATTCATTGCATGAAAAAAAAAGGGTTGAAATTTGAAGAAAATAAAGTTTAGTAGTTCTTGGTAACTGTAGTAGGCAACGGTTTTAAAATACTTGACGCAACCAAATGTATCAAGATTTTGACCTCGATTTGCGGATTTATTTGATTAAGACAGTGTTTTTTTTTGTTTTTTTTTTTTTTTTTTTGGGGGGGGGGGGTAAATTCGACATAGTCTTTCATTATACTTTCTTATGATGTGACTATGTTCGGGCTAATGGGACAATTTACAGTGTTATTACCGCCAGAATTGCAACAGTTTCAGAAGAATATGTGCATCATATAAGTTTTGAAAGATGAAAATGTATTCTGATAACAAGTACAATCCATATAAATAAAATGGATTTTTAGAAATGGAAATCGCTTGTTTGCAGCCTTTTATACGTCAAGTGTAGCAAAGCTGAGAGACCCAAGTGTTCTAACAATCAAAAGGTCCCTGTATTGATCCTGAGGTGAGGAAGCTACCTAACGGTTCGAATCTGGACCCAGCCATCCTTGATCATAAGGCTTTTAACATAGATAAAACATACTATGCTTTTAATAAATTATCCAGGCTAGATGAACAGCTGATTTTGAGTAACAAAGCTACAGAGTATTATTAAGTACTAGGTGAAACCCGTCAAAATCGACGGTTACTTTCAAGGGTTACGTTAATTCATCTAACTGCGATAAATTGGGTGAAATATGCATATTTTGAGCATTTAGCATTGTTTAAAGAGTAATAAGAGTAAAAACAATAATGATATTAATTACGTTAGTTGCCAAATTTGGTTGATCATTCAATGAATAAAATATTCCCCATACCGTACGTCATAGTGAATATATAGTGAATTTAATCAAACTCAGATCATTATTGCTCGAGTTATCGTGCTAACGGACACACACACATATATATATATAAATTTAGGTGTTCACGTAACTGGCTGCTGATAAATTAAATTATTATAGTAAATAAAGTACAACTGAGCACCCTGAATATCATATTTTTAATAGACGTGACATGTTTCCTATGAAATATACGAAGAAAATGTAAAAAATCCAAATCATGTTTTAAATAGCCAAATTCCTTCAAGAAACCCAATCTTTGACCAAATTTTAAAATTAAATAATCAGTGTTTAGTATTTAGAAGGAAAAAGGAACTATTAACTTTATATTAATTCAAAAGAAGAATATTTATTTTATTTTAAATACAAATGGTAATGCCAAACGCCAAAGCCACAGAACCCAAGTCCGTTTTATCTTCAGACAACAATCTTATCGCTCTATTCATGTCATTGTCCTTATCGCTTGTCGTTCGCCTCAGACAGGTATCCTGGTCATTCTCTCTCTGTCCACGGCCCTATTAATATGGTCTAGTACCGGCCACCTCTTTTAACCTCATTGCCATTAACATTAACTAATCAAGTTGTTTTTAGTTTTCATTTTAATTGCAATTGACATTGTCCAATCTTATTCTGAAGTTATTTTGTTGTTTTAGTGACAAGTAGTATTTTTATTTGCGTTTTATTAACTCACGAATCATGCACCATCAAGTAATCAAAGTGTCCTGTGCAGTGTCGCGACTTCTGTGTAATTAAAGTGGCCACGAACAATAAAAGACTTAGCGTTACGTGCGAACATCAAGCCTTCAAGCAGAAAGAAGAGCGAAAATCGTCTCATCCAACATCCAAGGGTTCGTCACAGCGCCGACACTAATCTGAAGTTCAAATACGCCATCCTTCCCACTTCTCCCTACGTCTGCACTGGAGTTTGTAAAGGTACATGTTTTCAAGTTTCTTATTATTTTCCGCAATGTAATTTGCGGTGGTCCTTCGTAATTTACCTATGAATAATCACTTTTAATATTCAATTTTTAAATAAATACACTCATACGTAACATTTGGTCATTTCTAGCCATATCGTTTTCCAGTTTTATGGAAATATATCCATTGCTCATTTCCGCCATTTTGAATCTCTTTCTCTTTCTGACTGACATTCTGTCCAGTCAGTGACGTCAGTCCGTCAGTGTTCAGTTCATGTCCATGTCATATTGTCATGTTTTGAATCATACCACTCGGCGCATGCGCGCACATAACCTGTTCCAGCTCAGCCAATCATATTGTCACAACAATATTCCCAGTGTGCATTACATGCAATATTAGTTCTCTAACTCTCCGCGTCTTGCATAGGCGCTGCTTTGCAGCTGTTTCGGCAAACTCCAATATTTTCTGCAACGATCAGCTGATCGTTAACTGTCATTATCTTGTTTGTTTACATTTTCATTTTGCCGACCAAACTTCAACTTCAAAGTGGCAGTGGTTAGTTTGGCATTATTTTTACTTTATGTAGTGGACTTATAAAGTGAAATGTATTTTAGTTAATGGGTTGAGAATATTTTCTACTTTTTCAACTTAAAGTGTTACAAAATAAAATTGAATAATCTATACAAGAAGAAAATGGACTTTCTGCTGATTGATTTGAATAATGAAATACTGTCATGTTTTGGACTGTGGCTGTAAGTAGGCCTATTTACTGAAATATAACTAATTATTCCAAGTTTAAATAGTTAGGCCTACAGTACTACACTTGGACAACTTTATTATATTTTTATCATCATATCCTATGCTTTATTATTTTATAAAGACAAACCAAGCTGGTTATTTACTGGTTCATGAACCTAACCTTCAGTGCTCACTAAGATATAGCAATTTATTAATATTTACTCTCAATTTTTGGAAATAGGCCTAAATTAAGGTTAAAACAGAAGATTGCTAGG